ACACTAGAGTAAATGCAAAATTACTGTAATATCACAAATGCATTTCCATTAAAATCCCGAAAGTAAAAAGATCTCGGATAACACCAGTTTGTGACCACTTTAATATCTGTTTCTGTGCGACGTCATGTGAAATTGTTAGGCATAATTACCCTTTTTTCCCAGGATTTGTGCGGGATAACCTATAGATTTCCCCCGTGTGATAACGTCCTGAGTGTAGACTACTCTTGCACTTTGAACTCAGTGTGCACCAATAGAAGTAAGCCAAAAACTAGAGGAGAAAGTGGGAGGAGAGAGAAACTGAGACATTTTAAAAACAGCTGAAAAAGTGGGAAGGCAAAGGATTAATTTGCCTTTGCTGAACTAGGACAATTGAAGGACTGGAGAAGAGAGGGCTAGACTTGAGATTTGACAAGCCTATTTAAGAAGATTATTGCACAGTTAATTAAATCACCTTACCTGATCTGGTTTAAATGTTAAATTGGGTGGCATCTGGACCCTATCGCAAGGGTTCTGCCACCAACTTTGCTGCCAAATGCAGCCTGGGTCTATCCCTTCTCCCAGGGCTGCTCAGAGTGGCTTTTTTTGAAACTGGGAGTTTTCTGGCTTGAGAAAATGGCCATCGGAGCAGCCCTGGAAGCTAGGGTGGACCTGGGGAGTGATTTTGGTGACAAAACCCTTGCGACAGGGTCCGGGTGCCACCAGATTTAAAATTTAAACCAGATCAGATAAGGCAATTTAATTAAATGTGTGATAAGCTTCCAAATGTACACATCACTATTTAATGAAGACCAGTTTTTCTGTTCAGAGGCCCAGGGAAGAAAGGTATAATATATTGTCATTGAGCAAAGCCCTTTGGGAGTATGGATTGGTAGCAATGGCAGGGTGGAAATGCTGTCTACAATGACTTTAGCTGTTGTTTGGGTTGTCAGTTGTTGGCCCTCCAACATGACAAGTCCCATTCTGCACTCTCTGGAGGAAGAAAAAGGAGGAGCCAGTGCTTGCTGAGAGAATAGCTCAAGAATGGATATAGGGAAAGGACAGAATGTCTGTCTGTCTGTCTGTCTGTCTGTCTGTCTCTCTCTCTCTCTCTGGTTCTGTATTGGGAGAGTATAAGTCTGTGTATGGCCAGTTTGATTTTATTTACAAGCAAATACACATAGGGGACACATGGTCTTAGATGTCTCTACACTAATGCACAGAGCAT